CTCATGGTGAGGGAGGGAGCGGGCCAGAGACAAGTGCTGGTACTGCCCAGTTGGGGCGGGGTGCAGAACAGAGCCGCAGGCAGCTCATCTGGAGGGATGGGGAGGGGGGTGGCTCCTTGCTGCTGTGCGTACCCGCAGGGGAGGCATGGGGGGGTCATGTGCCCCTGGATTTGTGTGAGGTAAGGGCAGGCTGACTGCTGTGGGTTCTGGTGTCTTCCTGACAGGGCTGGGCCAAGGCAGGGCAGGCAGTGGCAGTGCTGGGGGGGTTCTGTGGGGTGCCTACAGCAAATTTTGGGGTACTTTGTAGCCACCTCTCCCAGTGCTGCTGCTTACTGGCCACCCCTGGAGCACAGCCCCAGCCTCGTCCCCACCCCCCCTCCAGGAAGAAGCCAGCACAACCCCTGGCCCCATGCCTGAAGTAAGCAGCCTGTCCTCACCCCATGCACAAATCCAGGGAGGTAAAGGCCCCCATGCCTGCCCTGGGGGAGCAGACAGCAGTGGGGACTTGCCTCTGCTGCCCACGGCTTCATCCTGCACCCTGCCCTGGCTGAGCAGTGCCTGCCTCAGCCCCACTCCATCCCTACCCATCCTGCCCTCCAGACTTGCCCACCAAACATTGTTTTCCAAGCTGCCAGCCTGCATTGTTGGGCCCATGCACGTTGTGCACAGCATTTATTGGCGATATTATCAGCTACACCAGCCAAAAATAGCCAGTTTCCAATTTAATGTCAATTTTCCTTTTATCAGTGCTGGTCCAATATAGACTGATATATTGGCGAACCTCTAGAGAGAGCCTTTAAGCTGGAAGAAGAGAGTACTACTTATTCGGGCTGTGTGAAGCTTCAGTCACTGATTCAGTTCAGAGGAGATTTGGCCCAAATCAGTGGCCGAATCTCCAAAGCGAATTGGGAGACCCATTAATCTCTCCTAATAGATTTGGAAAGATTTGATGATTTGGCCACAGACGCAGCTTTATGTGCTTTTTCTGCCTGCCTCAAGGTACCATGCTTGGCCCGTGAATACTGAGATGGTGGGGTGGATACAGCGTCCCAGAAGCACGACCGGTCAACTTCTGAGTTCTCTGCGGAGCATGCGGGGGACCTGCCCCCTGGCTCAGTGACTGGTGCCTCCTGGGTCTGGGTGGGTACCTGGGATCCCCCCACAGCTGCTAGCCAAGGCTGGGGGGTGGAGGGTGGTCCCCTGCATGCTCAATGGCAGACCCAGAAGTGGACCAGAAATAATTCCAGTCCACTTCTGGGTCTGCTGCCAAACACTCCTGTGGGATGCTCCACCTGCCCGACCATCTCGGTGTTCATGAGCCACACCTGGTACTTCAAGGTATGTAAAAAAACAAAACAAAAAAAAACATATAAAGCTGTGTCTGTTGCCAAATCATCAAACCTCTGTTAATCGGAATAGAATCTTCAGATTCAGCCAAATCCAAATTGGAACTGCGATCCAAATCAGTGAATTGAATAGCTCTTCTCCGAATCGGCCTAATCCAAATCAAATGCTGCCTGCTTTGCACATCTCTGTGGTCGCTTACAGACATTTAAAAAAAAACAACAAAACCCGTCAAAAACCCATGTCTTACTAGAAGAAGCACCATGCTAGTTTCATCTGGGTCTGCAGCATCTATAAATCATGCACTTACACAGGGCTTTTTGGTGCTTTTTATCTAAAGTTGATTCAATTAACCATTAGATCAGGCTTGTCCAACATGCGGCCCTCCAAGCTGTTTTCTGAGGCCTAAGGTGCTGTGATGGGAAACAAAAGTAAACACTGTACTTTCTTTTCAAGGGGGTGATGTGATACCGCTTCATGAGAGGTCTTTGAATATGGCTCGCTGGCCCACTGGGTGATAAAGTTCGTGATCCGGCCCCACATCCAAAAAGATTGGGCACCGCTGTATTAGATAAAAGCAGTAATACACTAGACTAATGCACTGCCTCTTCTGGGAATATGCTAGGCTCAACACAGGAGCATGCCAAGTTTACAGTAAAGCACTGTTTTTTGCTTTTTTCGTTTTTTAACATATGTAAGCAGCCAGTAGGCCTACATTTATTCCATTTTCTGGTCAGAAACTATTTAGGAGAGCCCTGTACTCTAAGGCCAACTAAGGGAACAGAGAACCTAACGTTACAGGGAATTCAGTTATGCAGCAAAAATTGCTTGAGTTTTTTTTTACTTTTGCAAATATTGTGCTATTACAGTTCATAGAAAAATAAGGCTGCAAGGGACCTCCAGGGGCCCTCTAGTCCAACTGCTGCTCCCTGTTTTCCTAGTCTGTATAAAGATTCCACAATCATTCTCAGTCATCTGTTTCAGTGCATTGTATATTTGGCCCTGAACTATATTGTCCATAACTTAAAAGTGAAAAATTTAATTTAAAAATGACAAGTGTTTATTTAAAAAAAAAACCCTCGGTTTATATAAAATTTGACTGAATTGTTAAAGATAAAATTAATTTTATTTACTAAGCAATATCCAGAAGCCCCATTCACAGAGCTTAGTTGTTTAGCAGGGGGGGTGTTTTGTTTTTCTTCATTTTGGACATCAGTGCATCTTGTAAGGTGGTGATTCCTATTGTGTCCACAATCTGTTTTTATAAAGGAGCATAATAGGTTCTTCTGTTTGTTCCAAATAAAGGACTCTCCTACTTGCCTATAAACTCTGGACTGTGATTGCTGTTGCATTTTTATATTGTATTATCAAAAAATACTTTTAGTGGAAGACATTTACTTGCACTACATGTTTGTCTCTCTCTTCTCTCCAGAGGACGATCAGTGGTATCGTGCTTCTGTTATAGCATATATTTCTGAAGATACTGCTTTGGTGGGCTATATAGATTATGGTAATTTTGAAACGCTTCAGATAACCAGACTTCGGCCTGTGGTTCCGAAACTGTTGGAGTTGCCGATGCAAGCTATAAAGTGTACTTTAGCAGGTAAGAAATTGCAAGCTGTTGTATATCAAAATACAAAATAATGATTCAACATTTTGGGGAAACCCTTTAAAGAATGTACCTGAAGATAAGTTATGACGACCGTGACCAAGTGGGAGCATGAGGATAATGCTAATAACTATGGAAACATACTTTATAATGATTACACTAAAATTCCTAAGACTAAAATCTATTCAGATGTGCATAGTTATCTCTAACAGTAAAATCAACAACAACAATGACAAACCATCCCCTCCTGCCACTTAGAAAACTTTTTTCAGTTTTAACAGATCTACACAGGAGCTGTACATGTACCCTTGGTTAGAATGACAGCTATAGGTACCAGACCTCTCTTTTCATCTGTGATCCTGCTCATAGAGTGGAAAGTACAGTTTTCTGGCATGCTTTGATCTGGACAGATGTATCTGATGAAAATGCTAGCAGAATCTGACTATGTGAACTTTTTAGACATCTCTAACACTTTTGGTCAAACACAAACACACTTAGTTCAGAACTGTTCCTTTTGATGCTTTTGAACATTACTTTAGCTTTGTGAACATGTAAGTTTTTAGATTGATCATGCTCCAGAGGTCAAAATTAAAATACTTCTTGGGCTTCAGTTATTTTTGAGAGGAAACCATAGATTGACACCCTATTTACCATCAAAGATGGGACCAATATACATGGAGCATGCCCTGAATGGAGTTTTTCTTCCAAATCACATTATACTGGGTGCAAGAGTTCTTTTGCAATACCCAAAAAAAAAAAAAAAAAAAAAAAGGGGTTTTTTTTTTAAAAAACCCCCCC